CCGAGTGGTAATTCATAGGATTTTTATGAGCTCTTGATTTATTGCTGTGTAACTCCGTTATTACTATTGTACTAAGTAATTACGGATGTTAAATGAAATTTAGATTGATGCATTCTAATAACTCTGGGCACAGATACTCACTTGAAGAAAATAACTGCCTTACAGAGCGACTTCAGGACACGCTAATTTTGTTCTCAAATTTTATCATGTTGCTTTGTGGTTGCTTGAAGTCTTGTCTGACATGACTGATCTCCAGAAACAGCAGAGAGGTTCTGAAACTGTTAGGTGTACACAAGTGCTTGAGTGGAGATCAGCCTCTGCCTATGGTTTACAGAGGTGGAAGTTGGCTGTGGATGCTGGAACAGGCCAGGTTTGTGAACTCTGCCCAAGCGTTCGGGCTTCATTACTTGAGAGCTGGGTGGTGAACCTGTGTGCAAACACAGAGTATTCCAGAATGGTCTGTTGTTCACCAAATGTCTTCTGAATTGTGTTGGTTTTCTGTATATCTGTACATACCATGTGTGTATTTTTTTTTTCCCCCACATGTGTTTTCCATTCAGCGTTTCCATAACCTCCAGACTAGCCAGTTCTCTAGGGAACCTGTATGCTGCTGCAGACGATGATGAGAGCAAAATGACATCATTGTCCTCTAGGACAGGTTTTTCTGTAAGCCAAATCTCCAGCCACTTGAACGGCAGCTCGCAGCTGCCTCACAGAAATGTCCATGAACTGAACAACAACTTGTACAACAGGAGCAGCGGTAGTGGCACCAACCTGAGCAGCCAAACCACCCCTCACAGCGCCGTGACAGATGAGTACGCATCAGCCTTCCTTTACGGGCCCTACGGCACCTCCAGCACGATACCAGAGTCACTCAATTCCTGTAAGTTCACAGTCACAACGGCACCGTCAGGCATCTGACTGGTGCCTCTCTCCCTTCCTTCTGTGAGCACAGCTGTCGCAAAGAAAAACCTGCACCAGCACAATTCTCTGACTCCCGTTAACGTTTCTAACAGCACCTTTGTTACCTCTCCAAGAAATTACCACTTCAGCTGCCTTTTTTCCATCTCTTCCAACCATCTAGATAATGGAGAGTTCATGAAAATAAATCACTCCTGAACTCAAACTAACACCTTTGCTGATACCTTTTTTTATGGAACTTCTCACCCTTTGGACGTTGGTTACTGCACATGACCCGTAGCACAGTTCCTAAGTGTCGAGGTTTCACTCTGGCCAGCAGTGAGTCCGCTTGGCTTGAACCCTAGTCCTTCTCTAACACCAGTGTGAAAGGTACTTTGGAGCAAGATATTTCTGGTGGACTCACCATCTTAGCTGTCATTCCTCAGCTTCGCTGCCTTGGGCTCGTTCTGTGCCCTTTCTCTGTGCGAAGGAGCCTGCGTAAGGAGGATGCACAGGTACGTTAATGTGCCTTGAAAGTGTTCCTGTACCAAAGCAGAGAAGAGACTGTAGAAACTGCAGTTACGGAATCAGAAATAAGTTCAGCTGCTTTGGAGAAAAAAAACATACATCTGCTATAAAGCTAAAAGGAATTTCAAATATGTGGTTTGCAAAGATTTGATATCCTACTCATTAGAAAAAAATAGTGCAGTGCTTTTAACAGGATGTGTTGCCTACAGTTAATTGGTCGTGTCAACCTCTGTCTAGTGGTAGTGTTACATAAATCACCTTCGGATAAAATCAACCTCAGAATATTACACCTTTCTCTTTTCTCTCCTGAGCACTGATAGATGGTTTCAGTGTAAAGAAAGTTTTAGTTTTGCACCTGCTGCTGTGTTGGAGCGTGGCAAGTCTTGAAACCGCTGATATGCGCATGGCACCTAATGGTGCCAGCAGGAAGGTCGTTCCTGGGTTGGGCTCTTTTTCCTGAAGAAGCGGGGATGCAGCCCCTCCCTGACAGCTGGCGTGTGGCACCGCATACAGCTCAGAAGCCGCGCGGTTACAGCTCGGGAGCGTGAAGTGCACTTCTGGTGGGTACATGACAGGAGGCAATGAGTTCTCATTGATCCAGTGTGGAATTAAGTGGCATGTGTGACGGGAGCCTAACTAGAATGCAGAGTACACTGACAGGGAGGTTAGCTGAGGGAACTTGATTCTGTATCCCATGGATACCTCGCTGGAAAAAGGAGTAGAGCTCCTGTGCTAGGATGTGCTTGACCAAAAACAACTCCTGAAAATACCTGATGCTTTCAGGCTTCCTGTGTGAAAGCACATTTAGCTTTTTCCCCATTGCAGTTTACCTGGGAACAGACGTCAGTAGCCGGTCACCTCAGGAACACTGAGTGTCTGCATCGAGTGTAAACTTGAGCTTAAACTTCACTCCTGTTTCAAGACCACAGTTAATCTTCTTACCCACCTTAGTGATGTAGTAAGGCATGGAAGGATGTAAGGGTGTGACCTGAACAGTGCTTGCCTTTATATCACTTGCTGGTTCGGAGCTGGAGGTTATATGCCGTCAAATAGAGCAGGATCCTTAAATGAGAGGCTCTATCCAGTCTGCTCTGGAAGAGTGAGGTGAGAGAAAAAGGATTTTGTGTTCTGACACGAGAAGCAGCATTTCTTAGGAAAGGCCATGCCGTGTACAGTCTGTGTAGCAGAACACAAAATCCTTACCTGTAATTTTATTTCAGTGTTTCTGCTTTCCCGCTCTGAAGGTGCTTCTCAAGCACGAGCTGAAGTAACCCTGTGGCTCGGTGCAGTCACAGCAGGCACCGCGTTGTTACCCGTATAATGCACAATTGCCTGAGTTACTGTGATGTCCCAGGGTTCAGAACAAGAGTAGATGCTGTGATCATCTCATCTCTGAGTGCTTTCTGTCTGGTAGCACCCTGCTAACTTAGGGCGAGCACATGTCCATCTGGATGGTGGCTTTTTCTTCAGGTCCCACTGGCTAAATCCAGTCATGCTTGAAACCATTTCAATTCTAACCTGAAACCTGCTGTCTCTCCATGATGTCACCGTTACAGTCCCGTATTGTCATGAAGCTATTTCATGCTAATCATCTCAACTTGGTTGTCTTTCGATAAGCTAAGTTGGCTCAAAGATCCTTTTGGAAAGTGTTGAAATCCTTTACCGCTGGAGAAGACGTAGGTGCCACTCTAACCTTCAGCTGGCCACTCCAGAAAGCCGCTGCTCGGTGCTATCCAGCTTGTAAACCCATAGCTTGCGTCGGTTGCTTTAACCGTAATGCCTTGGGAGTGCATGGGGAGAAGAGTTCTTGCCATCCAAGGTACTGATTTGTATTTTAGTCCAATGTCCTGCTTTCCCTGGGAGTTTTATGGGGCATTTGGCTCTATAAAAGCATCATCCTTTATTTTTCACTCCCCTCTTCTTCCTGGGACCCATTAACCAGCCAAGGAAAACTGTTTTGTCTTACCACTCCAACCACTGCCATCCAGCTGTTGTGCTTTGGGTGATGCTTACCATGGTCTTACACTCAGGAGCAAGGTAGAGAGTAGCATCAGTACTGGCTACGGCTGATTTCCACTTCTCTGCTTTGGACACTGAGATTACTGGAAGCCTTGTCAGCGAAATCCTAGTCTTGTTGCCGTAAGTGTTCGGGTTAAACTGCAATTACCGTGCTAGCAGAGCCCAGCAGGTAACGGCACAAGATGTTCCATACGCTGGTGGTTGTGTTTCATCATTTGCTTATCAAAGAGCTCCTGAGTGACGCGAGTTCTATTCCTCGTCGTTGGCACAATCTCACTTGCCTGGATCGGACATCAGCTAACCGTCTGCAGTCATACAGGCACTCTGCTTTAGAACATCCCCTCATCGCGCTCAGGGTGCTAACTGTCAACATGGGTGCTGCAGGAGCATCGTAAGATGGTCAGGACTGTAAATTTACAGTTGGAATAATGTTCTCTAATCTCATTAGTGAGGAAATTGGGAACTTCTTTTGCATGCAGTGAAGGTATGGGTTCTCCTTCCCCAGAGAAAGCTATTCAGTACAGGTTTTTCTGTTTTTTGGTTTTTGTTTTTTTCCTCAATGAAACATAAGACCCACATTTATTCATACTGTTGTTCCACATTCCATTTAACCGAACAACAAAACCCCATGACTGGGGCTTCCTCTTGCTGCCAGCCACTTTTCCCTAGTGGTTTGTGCCCTTCATCAGTGTGAGCTTATACTCCGCTTCCTTTTTATGGTGTTTATGCTGCCGTGTGCTGAGGACCTGGAGAAGCCTGATTTCCGTAGGACACAACCTGCCATTCGAGCCACGTAGAATCGATGTTACGTTGACAAAGCTTCCAAATTGGGTGTTTTGATTAAACTGAGTCTCTTGCAATTATAACTTGCAGAAATATTGAGTATAAATGCATTTAAGGTACCGCAGTAAGATTTTGACTTTGTTCTAACAATAGTTATAAATCCAAATAGCACTCTATGAAATGGATTTTTATGGAAGGGTGTGTAACTGGGTAGACTGAGGATGAGTCACCTCTTGCTTCTATAGCTGTCATGGCAACTGGCAGGATGGAAACATTTCCAAAAAATCCAGAAGTGCAGCAGTATTTTAAAATTCACATCCCTGGTCGTTACCCTTGTAGAACAGCCTTGCTTAGTAAGAACGCAGCCTCAGTGAATCCCGGGCAGCCGTTGCAAACAGACACACTGGTGCCTCCCACTGACCTGGGCATTTGGCAGATCCCTTCCGGCGCGTCTGCACCTTCTCCAGCACATCCTGGTGTATGTCAGTGCCTCACGGGTATTCAGGGTGATTCTCTGGTGTTTTGGGAGAGTTGCTGCACAATCCCAGAAGCATAAGTAGTAACTTATGCAGTCACCTGGAGAAAGGGCGTGTTCTGCTGGGAAGAGCTCACCCTGAGCGCACTGGGCTGTTCCCTGGGAAGTGACCTCCCAGCTGGCTCGGTCCTGATGCTGGATCGTTGCAAACATGGCTCTAGCACCTGGATGGATCTGTGCCTTGTTTTCTCTTCCAGGAGGCTTTCTGTGCTCCGTCAGACATCATTAACTGTAGGGAAGCTCCTGGTGCGGGATGCCAGGCGTGACGCTGTGTGGGCCCACGCTGGGAGTGCACACGGGGATTCACTCGGTCAACCGGGTTTATGCGCTCGGCTTTGCGGCTCGGCAGTCAGTTTTCCCTGGGCTTGTCCTTCTGTTTTTACCTCTGTTCTTAGCAAGATTTTGTGAAATACCAGCATGTGCCTTGTAAAGGTGCTGTGGGGCTTTTTGTTTCTGGTAAAGCTTCTGGACTCCTAGGCCGTGCTTTGAGGCACTGCAGGTGGTAGGAACGGAAACAGAAAACTCTCAGGAGATGTAAAAGGAAAAAAAATCAGTGACAGGGTTGAAAAATATTCAGGCCATCTCTTCGGACAGTGTGAAGAGATTTAAGAGGACAAATTACTCAAGTGCAAGAGCAAAAGACCCCCAACCCTCTCCAGCTATGACGTAAGGTTTCAAACACAAAGCCGCCTGTGTCTTTATGACACCCTGGTTATGGCTGTCACTGTGTTAGCGAACAGGAACTTCATGGAGGTCACATCAGTTAATCTGGAAAACTGCTGCTTGGCTTGAGTTCTTCCCGGTATGCAGAAAGGCTGTGGAACGTGGGGAGAAGTCGCTGCTTTGTGAAGCAGAACTGTGCTGAGGGTGGGAACCCGCGGAAACACGGATTTCTCCGTTGAAGTAAATAACGTACACCCTGCCCACCAGCTAGACTGGGACTGCAGGAACACACCACCCTGTCCCCAAGCCATCTTGGTTATTGCCAACCCACGTGTGGATATTGGCACTTTTTTATATGTTGCCATTTTCTCCCTATTTTTGTAACTTGGGTTCCTAACAGTTTTAAGAATTAGAGTTTAAACTTCAGAATCTTTAATTGATGGTTTCCTGTTTATTTAAATGATGACCTAGAACTCCCGGTTACCACTCTCTGTTCCCCATTCTTTCTCAGCTAAGGTTAACCAAGAGCCGAGGGTTACCAGAAGCACACGGGGCTTTCTGGTCGTCTTCCCTCTGTCCGAGCTTAAAGTCACCTATTAGTGTGTGACTAATGAGGGTGTGTAATGAAATTGCGTGCCTTTTTGTGTTTGTTAGTCAACTTTACTTGGAATTCTGAGGTCTCACCATCTTCTGGCTGTTAAAATACCCTCTGAAAATGAGAAAGCGTTGAGGATCGTTAAGAGAGCAGAGGTTCCAAGTGCTCGTTAATGCAGGACTGTGCCTTCTGCCTCCCTCTTACATGTCACGAACAGCTTGACAAACGCTCCTAGTCCAGAATGATGATTACAGAATGGAGTCAGGAGAAAGAAGCTTCTGTGGTGGTGTATTCCGTGGTGATTCTGAGCCTGCAAGGAAACAACATGTGTTACATCCGTTTGGTTCATGACAAGGTATTCCCTGTGTAAAGGTACCCTTCATGTTCACTCCGTCCAGTACCCAAACCACCCCCTTCCAGTCAGTGCTGGTCAAATCTTTGCATGCTGACAGGACAGCACTTCTTTTTCAGCTTAGGAAGGACTGTTCTGATGGTCTCAGATCTTCAGGATGTGGAAAGGCGTTTAAAAGAGCTGTGGAAAGGTACACTGCGGCTTGAGATACAGCGGAAGCGGGTTTGTGGTACTAGTTCCAGCTTTAAGGGTTTATGCGGCTGTTACGCACTTCTGCGAACAGGTTTCGCTGTAGATGCCGGAGTAATTCTATAGTGACATGCTAGGAATAGTGGGAAAATGGGAGAGAAGACTCGAGGTTCTGAGCTTTCTTGGGATTCCTGTTGTTGTCTGGTAATTCTGAGGGATGGACTCAGTTTTGCAGTACAGTTTGGGTTTCATTTGCGGTTGTTTATAACTGCACGAGGACAGGGAAGAACACGCTCGGGGAGCAGTTAGTGTTTGTCAGAGTGACTTCCTGAACACACCTGCGTAGGAGGTAATGAAATGTTGGGATGCTGTCTGAACCGGTTATCTGTTTCACAGTAAAACCCCAGACTTCGGTACAGCCAGGAATGTCAGTAAGAGTAGATGAGGTTATGCTTTCCTCTTGATTATACCCACTGCTCCTTCATCCAAACGAGCCACTTGCAGTGCTTCACTTGCGTCCGGTTTTAGGAACCGTGCCTAAATTTATTCCTGGGAATAACTGTACTGCTACAGCGTTCTTCTCAGCAATTAGCTACAACACACGCTTCCTGAGTCAACACTGCAAGCTGCTGTGTTTCTTGGATTCTCATTCAGGAGAAATGGGAACCACTCCGTGATAGTAACTGCAGTGGTGTTTCTCCAGCACATCCTAAGGTACTGTAGGGTGGCACGCTAAAGGACTTGTGTCGCTTCCTTCAAGAACAGAGGCTGGTTTGGAAAGCGAACGTAGGTAGGGGAAGGCTGACGGGCCGCGCTCTGTTCGCTGTCTGAGTTTCTTCCATTCAGTTCATCTTGATCCGAGCAGACATTCAGATCCCCCCAGCTGTTTATTTTTTCTCTTCCTGTCCTTCCTCTACTCCTGCCCTCTAAGTGCAAAATGCGTATTGCATATGAGTACAACCTTCCCGGTGAGTTTAATCAGGTTCTTTTCTCTGCACAGTCCCTTCAGCCTGAGCGTGTTCAGCATGAAAGCCTTGCTGCTTCGCTGAGACTGCTTCGCTCGGAAAATCAGAGCCCGTTGTGAAGGAGAGGACCCTAAGGAAGCTGCTCCCTCCGAGGAGGAATCTTCAACACATCTTAAAACCGTAACACCAGGAAGAGACTTCCAAACAGGGAGAGCTTTCTCGCTAATGACTACTGCAGATGCACTGATGTTGAATTTATGGAAATGGTTTTACCCTGCTATATACAGATTTGAATGTTGAGAGAACGCGAATCTATTTCTACTGAGTTTCATTATGACGTTTATTAACTTGTGTACAGTGTTACAATATATGAAGAGAATATTTTGGTAAGCAATATATATGTAAAAATTATGTAAAATTAGAATATATTTTAGTGTTCACTTTGCTACAGAAATGTGTATTTTAAAGAATTTTTACGTGTTTATCAAAGATGAATTTTTTTTATGAACAAGATGTTCTTGTTTTATGGGTCCATGATTATTGTGAAAAGCCCGATATAATTATTTTTTCACTGATTGGTCTTCTGGTAACTTAAAGGAAGTCCAACTGGTGAGAGATTAGTTACCACCCTGTCAGCTGCTCCCCAGTCTGCTCCCCACTTCCAGCTGCTGGTGTTTCATAAGGAAGCACTGTGAGTGAAAACAAAGGGAAAATACTTGCGGAGATGTGGTTTAACTTGAGCTTTCCCCGGGGATTCAGCTGTACCACTGGTGCTTGCTTTCGCGTTGTCCTAAAGGAACGTTTGAACTCATCCATGAGGAACGTTCCCCTTTGCGATGCAGTGCATGCTGCAGGGCAGACGGCAGTTGGTGAGGTGCGCACGCGCAGCAAAGCGGGCCGTGCCGCGCAGCGAACTGGCCCGTGCCGCACGCTTGCACGCGTTTAACCTACATTTGGCAGCACAGGTACAGTTCCGTGAACAAAGCATATTGAAATAAATACTGAAAGTATATTGAAGTATCACCTAGCAACTGGATGCTTCATAAACGTTTTAATTAGAAAACCAACATTAAACGTGCAGCTCTCACCTCCTGTATCACAGAGCGTGTTTGCCATTGAGCGTCCAGCTTGATCCGGGGTGGCTGGGAAGGAGCTTGGCTGAAGGGCTGTTGCCGTGAGGTACCAGGGAGCACACGCGGAACACAGACCACCACAAGTGCGCAGTGGACAACTGTCAGCAGCTGTGGGACTTGGTTTAGGAGACCAAACCAAATCAGATCTGTTGCCTGCGAGCTCCCCGCTGCCTGCGGAACCGGTGAGGCTGTCAGCCTGCCCCTGGAGTCCTGTGAGCACCGGCACTGTTCATGGCTGACAGCAAGGTGAAGTGCCACAGGATTTCTAAAGGGATCAGAGCCCAGAGTGCTATGGGGAGGGTTGGTAAGCAGCACGGAGAGCAGCTGTGTAAATCACTGCGTAAAGTGGACATGCAGTACTGTACTTCCTTCACAACTGTGTGTATGTAACATACACACACGGAGTAGCATATGTGTGTGCATATATACAATATGCTGTATATGGATTATAGAGTAACGGTAAGGTAATTCTACCTCTTATACAGAATTTTGTCATGTACTTTGCTATAAATAGTTTTCCTTAATAAAATACTGTTTAATTTTGAAAGCTAGATCTGTACACATACAGCTCACTGATAATAAAACACTTCTATTAGCCGGCTTCCTTGTTTCTTGGCTTTTCTTACATAGATCTTTGATGTAAACTATTAGGATTAGAGCTGTAATGGAAGAGTAGCTCTTCGGAATTGCTTTCTCCTAAAGCCCATAATTCATTTGTAAATAAGGTGGCATTGCACAGACATTGGTATGGCAGGTACTGTCTGTAGCCGACCTCCAGCCAGCCTTCGTGTATCTGCTCTGTGTAACATCGGGTATTTAATCAGAGTGTTGGTATGAGGGTGTAAAGGTTATGTTCCAAAATACCGTAATTTAAGAGATGTGTCTGAGCTGAGGAAACTATTTCTGTGGACAAGGAGACTTGTTAAAGGCATAATATACCTTGGGGTTTTACATGTGCAGCAGGTTTTGTAGCTTTGCCAAGAGCAGGGGCTTCGTCCGTTAAGAACCCGAAGATGATGCTTTCGTTGGCCCTGTTACCCTCCCTTCAGCGAGAGACCAGGCACACACGGCTCTGACATACCTGCTGACTCTGAGCAGACCTGTTGTGTGCGCAACCCTCTAGCCAGGGCAGCTGGTGTTGTGGGACGGGTCTGTTCCGCGGTGGGTGATGCAGGCAGCAGTTGCACAGCCGCGTCGGAGGAGGAGCACAGCCAGGAATGCGTGGATGCATTGCAGTTGCCCAAATTCTAGTGAGGGTCTGATCTGAACACACAGCAAAAGGCTTCTGCCACTACGTGGGGACAGTTGATGAGTGCTGATTTGGATGTGTAAATACAAATGAAGAACAGCTAATTAAAGTTTCTCATGCACCGGCGTCGACCCCTCCCTCAGCCTCTCTCTAGACTTGACTTCTGTTGATGTACACATGAAACGCCGTACATGCCTGCTGACCTGCAGCGCATCTTTTCTTCTTGGAAACGAATGTGGAACGTACCCGGTGCGCGGCACCCATCAGCTGCTTCACAGCACAAACCTGGGGACAGCGAAGGGTCGGGGGGGTCTCAGAACCTTGTAGCTGTAGAAAACACCCTGAAACAGGTTTCAATTTTACTATTTCTGTTGCTTTACATGAATCTCCTTGTTCTGGAAGTACCAGCAGTAGCACATGAGACTTTTAAGAAGAGGCTCGATAAGCACGTAAGGCTGCATTAAATAAACCCGGTGGTCTCGCCTGGGCCCATGACTCCAGGTAATGCCTTTTAAAGGGTTAATCATCCCTTTCAAGTATGCTTCATGAAGCTTTTTGGTGAGGGAGATAGTTCTTGTTACAGATTCAGAGAATATTTTTCAATTACAGTGCTGCAGAAAGAGGAGGATTTGGATTTCTATAATAACCGTTCTCTACTGACAGCTTAACAATGAAAGGCCTCAAAAGGTTTGACACTTGATTAGATCTACACGGTAAAGTGCAGCAGGCAAAAAATATGGTAATTAAGGGCCTGATCAAGTACATCGCTCAGGAATGTCTTTAACCTTAAGCACATGAGCAACCTAATTAATTAAAAAAGAACATGGATATTGATGTTTGTAACAAATCCACATCGGGATCAATAGACCTGGCAACTGCCAACATGAGCCTTTGTGTCAAACAGAGGACGTTCTATGTTGTGACAAAATCATCCACTGACCCTCAGAAACTGGCTCCATACCATAAAGAACCGAAGCCGTGACTGTAATGGGACCCTCACGTACGGCTTTGGCATTGTCATTTGGCAGCATCGTGAGTTTAACAGTGTCCGAAACCCCCATACGAAGGTACCTGTGGTCAGCACCCAGGCCAGGCATCATGAGCTGGGAGCACCCACCCAGCGCCCAGCTCCAACGGCAGCATTTCGCCCGGCTCACCGCAGCGCTCATCAGCATGCCTTTTCGGGAAAGCTCTCGAGCAGAAACGTAAGCCCTGGTTCATCAGGTCTTGTCCGGGGCAAGGACGGCCAACGTTCTGTCCCATCTGGAGTGAAGCACCGGAGCTCCTGGGCGAATCCCACCGTAACTCCCAGTACATCTCCAGCCAGGACGGGGCCGTTAAGTCCCACTCTTCAGTTTCCATCCGCCCACGAACCTGCCCTTCGCCTCTGCGGGAGCCCGTGCTCCCAGTCGATTTGGGTGCGGGGCCGTTGGAGGGGCTGTGCTGCTGAGTGCTGCCCCTGCGCCCGGCCCAGCCAGGCCCCCCCACCGGCTGAGACAGGAGGAGTCCTGTGAGGAAATGAGAACCCCTGGACTGCGGACCAGCTGCCCCAGGTAGGAAGCACTGTCTTACGAGGGATCCACGAACCTGTCGTGTCTGAAAGGTTTCATTGGGAAGGCACATTGCTACTGTAGGCCAGCTCTAAAATTAACTTCAAACCTGCAGAAGAGGAGTGCGCTTTCTCTTAACAAAACCAGAAAAACATTGGAGCATCCAGCAGCGGAGTTCCTGCAGCAAGCGGGTCTGATTGCAGACAGAAGGGACTGACACCACTTTTCGCTTACTGCAAACCAAAGTTGTGTGATGGATGGAACCAGGAACCTGGTTTGGCAAAGAGTCAGACCGGCGTTGCAGCGTTTCTGAGCGTGATAGGGGTTGGGTTTTTTTTTTTTTTTCTCTTCTTGATTTCACAAGTTGAAAATCTGCTGAATAATTCATGAAGAGTGAAAGGGCTGAATCTTCCTGGAATGATATACAGCGTACATACTGTGGCACAGGAGAAACTGCACAGCTTTCTACCGCTTGCTGCCGCGGACTGCAAGGTGCTGTCTGCTCCCAATGGGCCCGCCTTCGCTAGCTACC